ATTTTGTGACCAAAAGAACTTTTCTATTGGCTGATAGAAGCTAACCATTAGCATTAGCAACTCAACAACATGGCAGAACAGGTTTGGGCTTGTGCTATTTCTGGAGATGAAATATATCACATGGCAGTTTTTTTTACTTAAAAGAAAATATGATTTAGTGTCATATGAGTTTGGTTAATGGAGTCCGTGGAAACGCCACATTGTTGTTGGCCAATTGAAGGTGAGACATTTGCATATCATGAAGATTATCGAGTAGACTTGTGGTTTTCCACCCCCCACTCCTCTGAGATATTTCAACCTCTTGAAACAGGAAGGCGAGAGCATTTTTACACAGAAAACTACTCACAAGGCATCTAACTTAGATTTGTGCATGTCGTGGTGCACATCAGACCTAAAGCCCTGTTGAGACTGTGTGTGTTTCAGCCCTAGCAAAGCACTGCTTCATTTAACACTGCGTGCTTTAGAGTTGGCACACGACACAGCCTTAGATTTAAGTGAGTTCAGCTACACAACATCTGACAGGCCAGTGTCTGGAGCATATCTTACTGAAAAGCTGACAGATTTTCCAAGATGGCAACCATGAGAGAAAAAATGCTACTTTTATTAGACTCCGAATCGAACTCCAGTGGTCCACCGGTACTTAAGTATAGCCTCCATTTTGCTAATGCTAATCTTGCATTAAAGTATTTTCATTGGTCGATTGCTGACCGAAGTCGTAGGTTTTCTGAAACCGTTTAAAGGCTGAGTTTGGTCGTGAGGGCGCTCAATAAGCTGTTGATGGGTCAGTCGCGCCGGACAGCCACAGACGTGCTTTGCCTTTCGTCACGACTCTGTTCATGAAAAAATATTGTCTACGACAGCCAGAAGATGCACTTTGTGACTCAGGCTTCACTCACCTGTCCAGCAGTGAGACTCGTGGATGGTTATGGCTTCTTCCTTTTTGTACTTTTTGTTAAAAGGTGATAAAGTGTCAGCAGGTACACTGAGGTAATTGAGAAAATAACCTGAAAACTCTGTTTGGTCTACTTTCTGCTCCTGTGTTTATACTGTATATTTTTATTCTGAATCAGGTTGAAAGCAGTTGAGTTCCTCATCAGCTGATATATCAAACTCAATTATGCTGGAAACAAAGAACGACTGGTGTTTTCTGAAATAAGAATGTGTAAACGTCTGTAAAATGACTCATTTTAACCCTTGAACAGCACATGGACTGACGCTCCACATTCTTGTCTAGGTTCCTCTCTACTCCTCAGATTGAGAACCTTACACCTGCTGGTCCTGTTGTAAAGGCTGAACATTGTTTTAATCAAACACACATCAGTCATGTATTCAACGTTGTTGATGTTGTGTTGCGGTGAACTAATCAGGGACGAAGCGCGTGATCTCTGAGCTGCACTATGTGGTTCTATTCAGTTTGCCTGTTCATCCGTTTTCATCCGTGGTCCGGGCCTGGCTAACCTCAGACAGGAAATGAGACCCAGAGCAGGGGAAGGGGACTGCACCGTCAGCTGTTGCCCAGTGCTGCTCCTCTGACCTGGAAAGACTGTGAAACTATGTAGATCCTTTTATGAATGCCGAGCTGCTGCTGTTTTTATCCCTCCTAATGCTAACACTAGCACAATGTAAACAAACAGTGTGATCACATAGGTGTGTGTCAGGGAGTTGAACCAGGCACGCCTAAAGTCGACTTGGCCCACCAATCCACAGACGGACTGAGACAGAATGATGTCACTATTAGAGGATCGCTGCACCACGATAAGAGCTTATCTATGTCTTTAGTAAACATTGTGCCTGTTAATGGCTAAAGTTGAAGAGATTAGGCCCACTGCAGCGTAAGGAGCCCTTTTACCTTGTTTTTATTCCCACTGATAAGATGAACTGGAGTTCAAGGCTTCCTAGGAGAAAGGAATGCACATTCATGGAGGTTCATAAATACCAAGATAAACGGTGTTAAATAAATGCCCAGTTAAGTAGGATAACATAGATCTGTCTAGAACATCACAAAGACAAAGGAGATGATAGTGGACTTCCGGAGGTGCAGAGGAATACACCCCCCCATCACCATCAACGGCGACGCTGTGGAGAGGGTGAGCAGCTTCCGTTTCCTTGGAGTTCACCTGGCAGTGGATCTTACGTGGTCAGTGCACACGGAAAATACAGTGAAGAGTGCACAGCAGCGCCTCTTCTTTCTCAGGAGACTGAAAAGATTTGGCATGAGCCACCGCATCCTCAGGACCTTCTATCGGTGTGCCATTGAGAGCATCCTCACTGGATGCATCTCCGCCTGGTATGGCAACAGCACCGCTTACAACCGCAAAGCTCTCCAGAGAGTAGTGCGGTGTGCTGAAAGGATTATTGGAGGTGAGCTTCCCTCCCTCCAGGACATCTATAAGAAGCGGTGCCTGAGGAAAGCGGGGAGGATCATCAAGGACTCAAGTCACCCCAGCCATAAACTGCTCAGACTACTTCCATCAGAAAGGAGGTTCTACAGCATCCGGTCCAGAACCAGCAGACTGAGAGACAGCTTTTTCCATCAGGCCATCAGACTGCTGAACATGGCGCAGACACCTCACCCTCACTACTGAAACTCCAACATTACACACTCCATACTGTACATTAATGCCACTGTTTTGCACATACCAACCTTTGTATATATTATATCTGTTATCTTATTGTTTACTTTATTCATTTGTATATTTAGATTAGCCATTTTTATATTTTACATGTTTTTACATTACTGTATTTTTTACAACGCTGTTGCTGTGAAGCTCGCACACAAGAATTTCACTCGCATGTACTGTACCAGTGTACCTGCACATGTGACGTGAAGTAAAAGTGATTTGATTTGATTTGATCTAATAAAGTACTCACTCAGACACACTCCTGCAACCCAGAGCCTTTCTTAAAACATTACAAATAGTACAAATTAAATTCCTTCATTATTATGACAAAACTCTTGCATTTTATTCTACAAAAACAAAGATTGTGTGCACGCACTTGAAGAAAAATGTTTCAGCACGGTTCTGCCCGTCTTCTGATGTGCACGTTAGATTTATTTGTCATCCTGAGCACATTTGCACAGATTAAATGTGGTAGCTAGTATAAATTAGGTTGCTGTTCCTCATCAACTCTGAACAAGCTGCCTGTTAATCTGTGACCATTCAGGGATCAAATCCCGGCTCCTAACTGGATCGGATTGTGTCCATTTATTCAGACAATCCTGTGGATTTTGCTCTGAACATCTCAACATCTGGCAGGTCACCAGCTGCTGCATCCCAATTTCTCTAAGCATGAGATTATTGTAACAGGAAACCCTAAACGTTCCTCTGACAGCAGGTGGAGGTGTTGTGTTTGTAGGAATCATGATCTGAAATGTAACATCTTACTGAAACACAACCGACACACCATGCTGTTAGTGATGTGGAGCGACAGGGTGGGATTAAAGGCTCTTTGTGAGGCTGATCATCACAACCTCCTCCCATTCTCAGAACCACATCAGACTGATGTTCTGGTGCCACGGGACAAATGTTGGCACCCTGTGTTTTTAAAGAAATCCGTTACCTCATCTGATTTGGCTCAGAGCCCCAAAACTACAAGAGCCTCAGTCTGAGAGGAAGAAGAGGTGTAAAACAGTGAATATCAACTGGAGAATAATGCAGGGGATTATTGACAATATTCACATGTTTAGCTGTTATTTAACACACAGATACACAAGCTCTACCTCATAAGAAATGTGATTTATCAAGGTTTCCCATCATAGAAGATATATTTTTTTACCTGTAAAGATGGTACAACCGTTAGTTAATCCACCAAGCTCTTGTGTTTAGTTTGTGAGCTTCGTTTAGTTGTTTGCAGCAGCTCTGGTCTTACCTCAGGACATCGTTTCCAGCTTTAGTGGAATGGCCCTGTGAAATATTTAATGTTTTTCATTTTGTTTACATCGTCTTTTCTGGTCGTATCTCCAAACCTTCTGGGTTTTTCCACGGAACACTGGTACTTCCAGCCTGCTGCTCAGAGCAGGTGAAAGAAAGAGGGTGAAATCATGAGTCACCAGATCAGAGCAGGATTATCCTTCTCCACCTTTAGGAGTCTCATATCTGTTGTGAAAACCATCTCTGGTGACCTGAAGTGAACCTGTGACTCTCCAGCAGTGCTTTCCTCACTGTGGTGATATTGATGCTGCACCATAGCTGGTACTTTCAGTTAAAAGAATACCAGATTAAAAAAAGCAGAAAAATATTAGATCTCTAAGAAGTGAGACAAAACCAGCTTTAGGGATTGTCTCCTGCTGTGTATTAATCTGCTTCAGGCCTGATTGTAAAGACAAAGGAAGAGGAGGGTGGTGAAAGTGGGACATGTTGACTGCTGTCCATCCTGCAGCTTGTTTTTGTTTTCTGCCTGTGAGAAGCTCTGTGCGGGGTGTGTGTGTGTGTGTGTGTGTGTGTGTGTGTATGGAGTTGCACACACAACACCGGAAGTATTTGTGCCCTGAGTTTTGGCTGACAGGCAGGGTTTAAGCTGTGGCTTCAGTAAAATTATAGGGAAAAAATAGCAGACATAGAGTTCTGCATTAATCTGGTAATCTGATTTTTATTGACTATATGTTTGCAGTAAAGTTGTCCTTAGTATTTTTAATGTTTGTTGTAAAATGTCCAGGCATGTTTCAAAATAAGTATTTATAAACTAAAACTCCAAGTGAAACATTTTAGATGACCTAAAATCACAGAACTGAGTTCTCATCCTGGTTGTCAGGACAGCCCCACCCCACCCACGGAACTCCTTCTTGCCTTGCATGAGTCAGTGTTAGTGTCGCCATCTAGTGGAGACAAAGAAAAGCTCCAAGCATCATATTGAAGTTGGAGCTGAGGATGACTGAACAACCTGAAGTTGTTACTGTGTTTGTGGTTATAATGGTTTTCATCGTGGAGTGGGTTTTATTCCCAGTAGAGTCAGGTCCACCTACCTGGTGCCCGCTTCACCTGCCTGTTGTTCTGTTGCAGGTGAGCTGCTGAGCCAGCCGCGACCGGACGGTCTGACTGAGATCATCTGTCCAAAGAACGGCTCCGAGCGGATTGATGTGGCCCTGGTTTACCCCCCCACTCCCACTGCAACCAGCCCAAAGTGATACCTGACCCACACCCCCTCACCCCAGTATACACACACCACCCAATCTCTCCTGCAGTGTCTTCAGTGACTGTCTCCTTCTGCCTCCGTCCTCTGCTCAACAACATCAGCTTCTCTCCGTCAGCTGTTCTTCTCATCACCACCTCATGTGAGTGCCTCTGTGAAGCACAATGAAAATCTAGCACAGCCAAATTCCTGTTCCTCAATCTTGTTTCCTCATAGAGTCCTGTTTCCTCGGAATCCTGCTCCCTCAGTCAGAGAGTCCTGCTCCATCAGAGTACTGTTCCCTCAGATTATTGTTCCCTCAGATTAATGTTCCCTCAGATTATTGTTCCATCAGAGTACTGTTCCCTCAGATTAATGTTCCATCAGAGTATTGTTCCCTCAGATTAATGTTCCATCAGAGTACTGTTCCCTCAGATTATTGTTCCCTCAGATTAATGTTCCCTCAGATTATTGTTCCATCAGAGTACTATTCCGTCAGATTAATTTTCCATCAGAGTACTGTATTGTTCCATCAGAGTACTATTCCGTCAGATTAATTTTCCATCAGAGTACTGTTCCCTCAGATTATTGTTCCATCAGATTTCTCTGAGTTACTTTGTCAGGGAAACCTTAAAGCTAAAATGGCTAGTCTGCAAAAGAAGCTAGTTTAAAATATGTTACGCCTCCTAACAATGTTCTAACGTAGTATTAGGGCTGTCACGGTAACTGCAAAAATGAAATATCGCAATATGAAGAAACCCACCGCGCTGCATCATGGTCCACCTCGATTACTGAACTTGATTCAACTCAATGATGCATGTTGAGAAGGATGGCTGCACTGGTATCAAAACGAAACGTTACTTCGCTCCTTTGGGATCACTTTGGTTTTCAGTACGTCAGCTGCTGCGCAGCCAGAGTCCTTGGCCAAGACAGAGCTGCCACCAGCGGCAAATAAATAAATAAATAAATGAACGCTCGGAGACCTGCTGAAGTCCCGGACAAGCACTGCTTCTGCAACCGTCCCGAAGAGAGTTTGAGCCGAGCTGGAGCTCACTCGCTACCTGCAGGAGGAATGCATCCACCCTAAAGAAAACCCCCTGACATGGTGGAGCAACAACCGGGAGAGATTCCCTTTGCTCGCCAGTCGCACGCAAGTACGTGTGTGTTAGTGCAACGAGCGCACCATCCGAGAGGGTTTTCAGTGTTGCTGGAAATGTTGCCACCCCTCTCAGATCCTCTCTCAAACCGTATATGGTTAACATGCTGGTTTTCCTTGTGGGTAACAAGGACGTGACCGAGCTATAAATCACCGTCATTCGTGTGTGTGAAAGTGAAATGATAGTGCCCCGCGCCCGGTACATGTAATTTTTTATGCTTGATTTTAAACAACTAAACAAAATGGGGACTTGTTTCTTATTTGTTAGATGCTGCAGCCAAATTTGCATTTAAAAGTTTAACCTTCTCCTGAATTTAGTTGTTTTTAAGTTCAGTCGGACTCCGACTGTCGGAGAAACAAACGTTACTGCGATCTGTGTTGTTACTGCCCTTTGATCTGCATTCAGTAAAGTGTTATAAAAGAAGGCACGGCAATTTTTAACCTTTTTTAAATGTGTAAACATTATGTTTAGATAGTACTGCAATAAAAATAAGTGCTGCAATAATATCGCACACCGCAATATTAAGCCACCCTGAATCACCGCAGGGGGAATTCCTCAACCGCGACAGCCCTACGTAGTACAGCTATAATTATTTTGTGGAGGTTGAAATAAAAGAACCAATGATTGGACCTTCCAGTTGTCTGTCTTGCTAAACACTTCCCTGGGTCTTCCACTCATTATGCATTTGTGCATTTACAGCAGAACACCAGTGGTGTGAGAGGTCCTGGGCTAAATAATATCAGAGAAGGAGATCAGACGACTGCTACCACTTCTACTTTCAGATAATCTAACAGAGTCCCCCCAAAAAAACATTTGAGGTCTCGGACAATAAAAGACGTTTGGACGTAGAAGAATGGCAACTAGTGTTTAGTGCTCTCTCGTTTACTCTGGTAATGCACGTTCTGGCATCAGGCGGACGTGGCCTAGCTGACAGGAGAGGTGAGAGTTCTATGACTTTGTGTTTATAAGCTAGCTTGTTTTGCAGTTTGAAGTTTTTTCAGCTCCAGTTTTCCTCAGACTCTGGAGCACATTCCATCCCTCTGGGATTTCAAACACAAGGAATGTTAAGTTCTAGTGAAGCTTAACTCTTTCGCTGCCAGCGTTTGCTCATCAGTAATGCCCTTCGCTGCCAGCGTTTCTCACCGTTTTTACTGTTTTTTTAAGAGTCACAGAACGTTGCGCACTAGCATGATGTCGACGCCAAAACAACCAAAACAACTAAAACAAAGCAGAGACTCACCTCTTACATCAGGAAGAATCCGCACGTTTTGAGCGTTATCCGTTCTTTCATAATCCGTTGTTGAATTGTGATCGGCAGAAGCTTTTCCAGTTCGCGCCTCACTTTTTTTACAGCAACAGCCCAAAACGATCTCCTAACACATGGATTTTCTGCTTCCTGATCACATGACATGTGATGTATGCGGATGAAGATCGGCTTTAGAGCTGAGATGTTTATTCTCTCAGTGCGGGGGCTCGTTCGACGCCCACACAGTAAAACAATGCAAATTACGACTTTAGTCGTCAATGGCACTGACTGAGTTAAGGGAAAAACTGAACCACCAAATACCTTGATTTATCTCTTCACAGCCGAGTGACTAACTTATCTTTTGATAACCTGACATTAAGTCTGTAGCAAACACCTGAGTGTTTCAGCCTGAGGTTTACAAACATGCTTAAAAGAACGCTAACATGACTCAGTCAGGAATGTCCGAGATCAGACCAGTGTCACCCTGGACACACTCTCTCTGACTCGCTCCCATCTGGCAGGAGGCTCAGATCCATTCGGACCAGAACCTCTCACCACTAAAACTGTTTCCTCCCCTCTGCCCTTGGACTCATGAATGACAGTCGTAGACCTGCCCACTCCAGCTGCTTAGTTTCAGTCGCATGGCCCTGTGTTGTGTTTGCACCTGGACTGACCCGTTCTGACCAGTGCCAACCCTGACTTGTATAAAGTAGCTGCTTCTCTAATTGCTGGTTCCCTATATACAGTAACTATCCTTTCATTGTGTTTGTTTCCTAATTGTAATTTTGCTCATCATTTATCTTTTCTTGCACCAAGTATTGCAGCAATTTCCTAATGATGTGATTGTCGTACATATGGCAATATAACCCTTCTGGTTCTGATTCTGATCAGCCAACTGGACCCCAGTTCTCACTCAAGATGAAGTCAGTGAGAAAAACATCAGCATTAAAGACGAGACAAAACAAACATTGGTTCAGTTTTCCATCCAGCTGCTGATGGGTTTCTGCTCCTTTGATGTAACCCGAGTGTCCTCTTGTGTTGCAGGTTGTTGGCGTCTGATTATGTCCCTTCTGAGTGAGCACATCATTGTGGAGAAACAAAACAGAACCATCTAAACGAAGAAAAGACACATCTTCACCAAGATGGAGCGTCTTTTCCATGTTGACCTACATAACGAGACATTTCCCTCCCAACAGTCAGATCCAAACCGAGTGAGGACAGAGCAACAGAAGCACACGTGACTGGCAGCTGGTATTAGGACCATCCATGTTCGTGTGACATTGTCCTGGCTCCATAACGTTGAAGTTTCCGTCCACATGTTTAGATGTTAACTCTGGTTTTCTTCATGGTAAAACTTCAGTTACCTACTGGTGCTACGTTGGGATTCATCAACCTCAGACTGGGAGAAAACTCTCTAAAATGTGGATAGTTGTTGTTTCCTCCTATAGATCTGATTCATCCTTCTGCCTTTGGGACAGACCTGATCACATCTGCGTATGACTGAACCTGTAATACACTTCATGAAATGTCATTAAAGGTTTAACAAATTAAAGTTAAAGGTCATACTTTGTGTTTTCTCTTAGGCTCATTCTGCCTCTCATTTGGGCCATTAGAAATTATGTGAAAAAATTCCAAAAATGATCAAACTTGAGGGGAAAAATGGCTCCTATAGCAACTCAAACAATGTCAGTGTGAACCCTGTAGATGATGGTGTGTTCTGCCCAGTTCCAGACTGACTGGATCCACATTCTGTAGTTTTTCTTGGTGATAAACAATCCTAATCTTACTGCACCTGTTGGGCTGCACTAGATGAAACGGCATTCTTTAATTTAACGGGAGACCTTAAATGCCAAGTGCTTTGATCCACAGACGGTTACCGCCGCCGCTGACAGAACGGTGGATCAGGTTCTGACCTCAGGACCATCAGGTGTTCCAACCAGAGATGATTTCAGCAGGAATAAACTGAAATTTGCAGGTGGACTTGTTTGTGGATGTAAATAATATCTTTATTTTTCTATGAGGATGTTTCAGCGGTGACATATTTACAGAGCAATGTGCATGTCTGACTGGGCGGGTGCACTCTGGGTTTTATATGTAGCTGCTTTCAACATGAATGCCAAATAAACACATAACTGGCTTTAACAGTTCCTATGATGTGTCCGTGCGTTCTTTACTGCAGATGACAGAATGAGTTCAGTAAAGGTTTCATTAGAGTTCAAAAGGATGTCATAAAGATGCTGCATCGTTTCACTAATAGCGGTTTAATAGATACAGGATGCATCCCGGTCATTCTGGCATCTTTTGAGGAACTGCTTTGTTTAAAACTGAATAGACTTCCCTGAATACTTATTATTGTAGGTCCATACACATGCTCGATTAATATCCATTAAACAGTTTTTTCTATAAAACAGAATCTGTACAGCAATTAATCATTTACCTAAAAAATGCATCAACAATAAGATCTCGCAGATTCATTCATGTAGAATTTTGACTGCTTATTTGTGAGAAAGGTCACAGGGAGCAGGCTTCCGACTCCAGCAGTCACCAGCTGAGACGGGACACCCTGGACAGGACAACAGCTCATCACAGGGACGCACACAGAGCCAACAGTTCACTGGCACCTTTTGCCCCGTGGGAGGAAACTCATGTATGAGAAGAAAAAGCAAACTCCACACAGAAGTTTCCAGGATTTAAACCCACAACCTTCTTGCTACAATGCTACCACCCATGACACCTTGGTTACCTCTATAGGTAACCAATATGTCCTCCTACACTCAAAGTAAGAAAATCCATCAGTTTGGAAACATGGTGTAATTTTGGACCCAGTTTTCATACAGCATTGATTTCTTGTTATTCTAAATCAAATAAATATTTGTTCTGTTAAGAAAAAGGAAGCTGCACCGAATACTTTTTCTATATTAGAAAATTATGTTACTGAATATCAAAGTAAATGTATTTGGAATGATGGTTGGTTATTCAGCCTCCTGCTCAGTGACTGCTGGAGATAGGCACCAGCTCCCTGTGACTATACAGAGATTTGAGACGGAAGAAAAGTTGAAAGATGAAGAAGTTTTGCATTTTGGGAATTAGAAGTTGAAACGTTTGATGGAATCCTCTCAATAAGAAGAAGATGAAGAATACATTTTATTTAAAAGCACCTTTCAAAACACCCAAAGTCACTGTACAAGATAAAACACAATATCGTAAAATACCACAGTCAATGTTTGATTTCTCTCAGACTGTTTTTGACAGAAGTGTATTCTATAATAGGTTTAATTTCCTGTCGGAGGTTTGCTGTCTATATTTTATGCAAATTACCCTTAATAACAAAGTAGATTTTTTATGTGTCTTGACCCATCAGAGGAAAGAACAATAATACAGACTGTATAATACAGGTTCTGTTTTAAAATTGTGTTTAAACATTAGGAAGGAAGCTGCTTCATCAGCTAACTTAAAACGTTTGATTTAATAAGCAAGGATAGATAAATATGACTAACAAGAGCAAGAAAGATGCCACATGATCGTCTTTATTATGGCGTTATTAAACCTCGAAGGCGTCTCTTGTGGAATTCTAACTGAACAATAAATCATATCACAATAAACAATCATATAAATCTCAGTCATGTAGAGTATTAAAATGAGCGACTGCAGAGGTCTGACGAAAACGCACTCAGAGCGCTTGTTGAGCACCACCTTCTCCGACCAGCAGGGGGCGGTGAACTGGACTGAATGCAGAAGAAGCGAAACGCGGACCCCGGTACTTCCTCTTCCCCCTGCGGCCTCAGAGGTGAGCATTACTGTCTTCTACATGAAGAGAATAATCTGTCCATAATCCTTATGAAATCTGCACCATCGTAGTTTTTGAACGGCTGCGTTTTATCCGCTGAGAATAGATGGCTATATCGGTGTAATATTGTTATGTATAAACGCATAAATTATGAGTTGGCTTTAGTATTTGCGAGGACACCGACTTAGCTTCTGCTGCTCACCGCCATGTTGGTTCGTGTAAAAACTAAAACCTGGTTTTTAAAAAGACGTTTGCTCTTTCTACTATGATATTTCGGGTGTGATGTGTTTGCTAGTTATTCCTGTTCCCTTGTGGTTTTGGGAACCATGTTTATTAACTGAAAGCTAGCCGGATTTAGCTAGGCGTCCCGGTGAACTGATGCAGGTTGTGTCATGTTTAAAACGTATTTGTGTTTCCAGGTGTCTGAAAATGGTCCGCTACTCTCTTGACCCGGAGAACCCGACCAAATGTACGTGAGTTTTCGGCTAAGTTTGTCTTATTTCTGTGGCAGTGATGACTTCTTAGGACACCTTTGGATTAACCATGAAAATAGCTTTTTATGTCTGAGCTACAAGTAGTAGTAGTACCCATTCGGTGTCTGAGAGCCGCAGCAACTGTTACAGAGGTCTGGTTGTTCTTTTTGTTTCAGCATGTAAGGCGAGGGGCTCCAATCTCCGAGTTCACTTCAAGGTAAGCTGTCAGTTCATCTGTTCAGAGATCAGCAGCTTTCACTCTACAGCTCTCGCTTCTATTCAGTTTAGTTAGCATGGTTTCAATAAGTAAACGTCCTTTCTGCACACTTCTGATCACATTATTTCACTTGATGAATATACTGCACAATACAAATGGATCTAATTGCAGTGGCTTTTTCCCTCTGCTCACACCTGGATCTATGTGCTGTCTGTTAAATGAGAGGATGTCTTTGGTTTATTTTCAACAGGAGTGGTGATTTTAGTCTGAGCTCAGCCAAGACCACTGTGTGTTGATGCTTTAGTTTTATTTCAGTTATCCTCTGGTTTATTCTTCCAAAGTACGTAGATAGTCACCGTGTGTAGCTGTGAGGTCGTTCATCGGCTCACAATGCCAAGATTCTGTTCTGTGTTTGGTTACAAAAAGAATAAAATCGTAAACCAGGGAGACGGACATACTCATGTCCTTGTGTGCATCCTGACTGAAACATTGACGTCTATTTCTTTTGTGAAAACTGGAGAACTGTTGACCACAAAGCAGTTCATTGATACCCTTGATGATATTTCTATATAAAATGCTTGGTTTTCCCATGCCTGCATATGATAATGCCTCTTAATTGAAATGAGACCCTTGCTGCTGACATAACTGACTAGACTACGTAATTTCACAGCAGTTCATACAGATAATTTCCAAAGCTCACACTCCATTGTATCATTTAAGTATCTTCTCGGTGGTCTTGATCCTTGGTGCTGCACTTTGTTGCCGGTAGTGATAATAACACCTCCAAATGGTCCCAGAACTCTAGTAAAGGACACGTGTGGACCTGATGGTGGTGTAAATGATCAGAACATTACATTCTTTGTGAGATTAGAGTTTTAAGATGGTAACACCACAATTTGGTCTTGTGTACATTTGGGCTAGCTGTTAGCTCCTCAGTCCTGAGACACAAAGGCTGTTTCTCCAGAGGCCACTAAGGAAGCCGTCCCCATCAGCACACATGTGGTGGAGTTTAAGGTTATAGAACTGAGACTCTTGTGGTCTAGAGGCGATTGATTTGAAGTTTGGTCAGTCTGTTAAACCATTATTAAAGTTATACTTGTGTGTATTTGTGGACTGGGCTGGGGCACTTTGAACGGAGGTCTTGTTGAGATGTGCTTTATTAAGTTGACTTTCTCAAACAGAACACTCGTGAGACGGCCCAGGCCATCAAGGGCATGCATATCCGCAAAGCTAACAAGTACCTGAGGGACGTCGTCGTCAAGCACCAGTGTGTCCCGTTCCGTCGCTACAACGGTGGCGTTGGGCGCTGTGCTCAGGTGAGAGCTGCTGAAGTTAAGAGTCAGGTTAAAGGCTGCGCTGATGACCATCTTAGGACACCTTTGGAATAAAGATGAAACAAATCCGTATGATCTGAGCAGCATCATATTATTCACTTCTTGGGCTGGAAGACGCATTTTTCTGAAAAGTTTGCTGTTTGCAGGCTAAACAGTTCGGCTGGACTCAGGGCCGCTGGCCCAAGAAGAGCGCAGAGTTCCTCTTGCACATGCTCAAGAATGCAGAAAGCAACGCTGAGCTGAAGGTGAGTTCTCTTGTGTGCCTTTCTGACCGCTTCTCCGCACCCAAGCGCATCAGGGTTGTTAAGCTGTTCATAAAACCCCCAGGCTGCTAGTTTATTTCACTTCAACCCAAACAGATGTTTTAGAAATGTATACTTCTCTGATTATTCTAACTTTAGATCCACTTAAGAAAAGGTCTTCCTTGTTCTGCCCATTGTTTAGTGTCCCATGTCCACATGCAGCCACTCTGCTGGTGGACATAAATCAGTCCTAAGCTCTCACAGAAGACTTATCTATTTACTTTTGCTGGAGATTTTATACACTCTTCTACATATAGATGTCTAGGTGTAAAGCCTAATTAATACTTATGCGTCTGGACGCCATCATCCGTTCTTGTGAGCATGCTGAAGAGCCCTCGTAAGGATGGGCGGAGTCAGGATGCCACTGTCGTCAACAGCAATGCCATTGCGCCCTCAAAAGCAAAGAGACGAGGGTATTTAGCAGCAGACACAGCTGATTGAAGAATGCCTTGCAGAAAAACTCTAGAAATATGAATGTTTTAATCACCTGTGACTGGAGGAGTAAAAAAATGCGCAGCACGCGTGGGCATGGACAGAATTGACAGGAAACGTGGGTTTAGAGGTGGTGAGTGCATGAAGAGGCTAAGGAGGATGAGGGACAAATTTATTCTTTTTAAAAAGTGTCTTAAATACAAAAAACACAACAGTAAATGCACTATCTTGGAGCGGATATCCAACAGGATACCACAGAACAATGCTACGCCTTCTGTTGTCCTGGCGGGGAATTGCTTTGCAACACTCCCCAGGAGACAAGTCGGCGAGCAAAACATCTGTCAGTGTGTGTGTCTCTCCCTCGTGGAGCTGACTCAGAAGTATAGATTAGGCTTAAGCGTTTAAAATGTTGCTAAATCCTTGGTTTACAGGACCACAGCTAGACAAGCTTATGTCCTTGTTGACATGATGGGTCCTGTTTTTATAATGAAACATCAGACCTCTGTTGTAGCAGAACCATGTTGGCCCACAGTCAGTCCCCTGATTTCCTACTAGAATTAGATCTAGGAGCCTTGTGTGTTTAAACGTTAGGGCAAAGTGCAGTTTAACCTGTGGTCTGTACTCCATGGACATCAGGTTGAGACCATTTGCTTTTCTGCTGCTGCAGAAGATAAAGCCCATGGGCTCCCTCGAATCTGTCTCTCCAGATGAAACGATGTGGTGATGAGTTTGGTTTGTTGGTGGTTTCAGGGTTTGGACGTAGACTCTCTGGTCATTGAGCACATCCAGGTCAACAAGGCCCCCAAGATGAGGAGACGCACATACCGTGCCCACGGTCGCATCAACCCTTACATGAGCTCGCCATGCCACATCGAGATGATCCTCACAGAAAAGGAGCAGATCGTCCCCAAACCGGAAGAGGAGGTGGCTCAGAAGAAGAAGGTGCAGTAGATGAGAGATCTGTTGGGGAACGAGCGATGTTCTGATCACACCAACATTCTGTCTGAAACTAAGACACTTGGTTACACTGATGACTTCTTAGGACACCTTTGGATTCTTGATGAAAACAAATTAAGACTCTGAGTAACTGAATGTTGAAACTGTGATTACTTTTAATCACTAATGTTACAATAATGAAGTGTCTCTTTTTGCAGGTTTCACAGAAGAAGCTGAAGAAGCAGAAGCTGATGGCGCGCGAGTAAATTCTAATAAAATGACAACATGTTGTAACTTCAGACCCTGATGTGGTTCTTTATCTTGCCTGAGCTAAATCAGGATGTTGATGTTGGAGCTCCTCGATCCTTAGGCAACACACCATGCTGCTAACACACTAAACACCAGAACAGGGTGGGTTGGTAGCAGTGGTTCGGTGAGTGTGCGATACAGGCTGACCAAGAGTTTAAAAGGATTATAGAAACGCAGCTGTAGCTCAGCCTGTGCTAGCATGAAGTCAACAAATAGGAGGAACATCTTAGGAGCTCCCATTTCACCAAGACTGAAGCCTTTACGGTGTAGCAATGGAAATGTCATTGTTATGGGGAAATGTACTAAGTTGACCAACCTCAATTAGGAGCTTCTTTCTGATTACCTTCTGTGTAGCAAGAGAACAGTTGACATGTTCAAATACTAGTTTAGAACTTCCGCCACAACTCTTAAGATATAAATGGCCTGTATTTGTTCAGCGCCTTCTTGGGGTCCTACAGCCTCCCCCCCCCCCCCCCCCCAAGGTGCATCCTGTATCTATTAAATTTCTACATTTAGCCATATGGAGCCACATGTTGAATTCTGGATGAAGAGCTCTAGTTGGGTAATAGACCATTGTTGGAAAATTAGAGCTGTTAAATAATGTGCATCTTCTAAACCAGCCATGTGACAGAAAAGTCAGCTGACCGGCACATATTTAAGAGATGCTACAATCGGCTCTTGCTGCCCCTCTAAAGCTGATGTTTTCTATTATGATGGATTTTTGGAGTCCCTGTAGGAGGTGCTGGAGAGCCCTCCAGCTGTTGACTCCTTCTGGGGGAGTTCAATGCTTAGTGGTCAATGACATGAGACCTGGAGAGGTGTGGTTGGGTGGAATGGCATGGCATGCGTGATGTGAATCCAAATGCTATGTTCAAGCATAAAGGTGTCCATATGTGCGCTTGGCTCCAGGATACCTAAAGCTGCAGCTTAATGATCAACTTTGTTGTCTCATCTGATCTGTGGCTGCATGTCTTGGACACTCAGGTGAATGGAGGGGTGGAGCCGTTAACTGGCCACTACCTGGGAGAGGGTTCTCGCTGCAGAACTACAAAGGCAGAGCTGCACCAGAAGGTGAAGCTGCACCTTTGTGGTTCTGCAGCGAGCGCCACTTGCTACCTGGTGGAGAGATGGCTTTGATAGTGGGAGAGAATGCTGGTCAGACCTGGCAGGTCCAACCGTCTGGTGAGGGTCTGCCGACTACTGCCAAGTCACGCTGACCCCTGTCATTAAGTGCTTTGAGAAGATACTTCTAAACCACATCAGGGATAGCTTCCCTGCCAGTATAGACACACCAGTTTGCCTGGAAGACAGTCTCCATTATACCACACAGCCCTGACACACCTGCAGTCTCCCAACACTTGTCAGGATGGACTTCAGCTCAGCATTTAACACGACAAGCTGATTGTAAAGCTCCTCAACCTGGAATTCTTGACCTCAGTGTGCCTCTGGATCAGGGACTTTCTCACAAACCAACCCCAGGTGTGGTCAGAATTCAGATCCAGCACCTGGATCAACGGTGTACACTTAACAACCTGCTGCTCAACACCAGACCAAAGAGGCCATCATGGATTACAAGAAGACAGCACTTTTCACCCAGGGGGAGTCAGTTGGGTGTGCGGTCAACATCAGATTCCTGGGCATCCACATCACCTTGGACTTGGCCTAGTCACCGCACACCTCTGGTGAAAAAGGCCCAACAAATGCTGTTCTTCATGATAAAACTGAAGAGGGCCTCTTCCCCAGCTACTCAGGAACTTTTACACAGCCATGATTCAGCCATGACTGTCTGGTATGGAAACTGCAGTCGAGAACAAAAAAGATCTGGCTCAGGTGCTGAAAGACCAGCCAGCGGTTTGTGGGCAACCTGCTTATAGGTCGACTCCAGAAACGCTGGCAGACTGTCAAAGAAAGCCAGGTGTATTGCTGCTGACCCCTTTCACTGAGCTCAGAACTGAAGGACAGCTTCTAACCAGCTCAGTGGCCTAGTAGTAGAGTGTCCTCCCTGGGATTGGGAGATTGAAGTTCGATATCCAGTCGGGTCACACCAAAGACTTTAAAAATAGGACCCAATGCCTCACTGCTTGACACTCAGCTTTACGGGGTTGTACTGGGGAGGTTAACAACCAAATAGTTCCCGAGCACAGCCACTGCTGCAGCTCACCGTTCCCCTCCCATGAGGATGGGTCAAATGCAGAGATGAATTTTACCAGGGTGTGATGATAACTATGGGACTTTAACTTTCCCCACAGCTATGAAAGCCACCCCAATCAATCAAACTTTATTTATATAGCACTTAATCATGCAATACATGCAACTCAAAGTGCTTAAAAAACATAAAAGGCCCCACATACCCATATTCCCTCCCATCCCCAGAATTTTAAAAACAGTCTGACAATAAAAAGATAAGAATAAGGAAACGCCATCAGGGGAGTCATCCGCCCCGACAGCAGCAGATCCGCAGCAGCAGCTGAGGCACCGACACAGGGCGCCCAGGGCAGGGAGGGCGGAGACCCCCGCCTCCACCCAGGCACACCTGGAAAGCACCCAGGCCGCCACAGCCGACCACCGCCCCCTGGGCACAGGGCACCCACAGAGGAAACACTGGGAAAAGGTTAAATTAATTTAAGGTTAAAATATAAAATCATAAGAGCTAAAATGAGAATTGTAATATAAAAAGTTATATAGAAATTAAAATTATGTTGATCATAAATCTATGGTAAAAAACAGTTTTAAAAAAGCGTATAAAGAATACATCAAATAAATAAACAAATAGATAAGTAACCCATGCAAATATTCAATGAATTTTTTAAAAAAGCGTTAAAAATCAGTTAAAAACTAAGCTAAAAAGATGGGTCTTGAGCCTGCTTCCAAAAACATGAACGTTCTAGGCGGTCCTGAGGCGACCCCCCCCCCCCCACACACACACACACACACACCTTCCACTGCTGCTAAGGACTGCCAGAACTTGTAACCCACACAGGAGACTGCTCACTGCTATGTACTTGTTGTACGTCATGCTGCTATATGGCTGTTCACATTGAGTCATCATGTGCAATAACCTAGGTACATTATTCCCCAAATAGTCAGGGGCGCCTCCAGAAAATTTTGATAAGAATAGCTTGCCAGACAAGACCAAAGAAATTTTGGGGTGTCGCACCAAATAGGCCCTTGTGGTGACTCTGGGAGTTTAGCCTGTGGTGATGCACTGCATTGCTCCTTTATTCGTTTTAATTAAAAAGCTGTATGTATCTAAAAAGTAATTGATTTTTTTTGTTCAATTTACCTGTTTCTGTGTTCAGAAATTATGGAAATAAAAACTTTTTTTTTTTCAAATGGTGAGAAGCAGAAACATGTATTTTTTATTCTGGTAATTTCTTTACTTATTATTTGTATAATTTTTTGTGTTTTACATTTCTGTCTTGATCAAATAAGATTAACTTATCGTTTGAGTGAGCATTAGTATGATTTATTAACACCGGCTTTTCCTGAGGGGCCAGACATTTTGGCAACCCCTTGGGAGCGCCATTGTAAATAGTAGGTGCATCTCAGCCTGGTTTCTTTTTATGTGATATTTTCACTATTGCTGTAAAGCAGATTGAGTTGCCTTTGTATAGGAAATGTGCTATGTAAATGAAGCTGTCTTGTCTATTGGGTGCATTTTTTTTATCTGTGTAGAGATCTGTGCCTGTAAGTTGAGAGCTACTTTTTGGTTAATAATAAATGTTTATCCTCACAAAAAGCCTGGCTTGAATTTATAATAATTCATTTAATGCATTTTTGTTAGATAATAAACTTGTATCTGATAATAAAACCTGGTTTAAACTAATTATAATTACTTTTGGGTGCATTATCAATTTTAAACTAACATACATAACTTTTAGATCTATAATCATTTTCTTTCACAGTTATTTTATTGAAAAATGAAGCCAATGTTAGCTTTGTAGGTTTTCATGTAACACGTTTTTTCCTTTTTACTTCAAGTGAAAGTGTCTGGTCCAAACAGTTTTATTTATTATGAGATGATCAGAATGCCTCACATGGCCTCGGTGGAGCACAAGTGTCTGCTGGTGCAGACTGTAACCACACGAGGGCGCTATTGCACCGCACCTTTTACGTGCTTCATGTTGCACGCATCGGTTGCACTGCAAGATCTATTCTTCCATCCTCACAAGGGACATAACAAGCCATCACATTATAACCAAACGTTACCAGTGTGTCAGAAAAAGGAAATTTACAGAATTGTAACTTTATTTTGTCTTTAAAATGATTAAACACCGTTCTTAACATCCTTGCTGCTTTTTTATTTGCATCAGACATGGCAACAATATTTCTCAATAATCCAGTTAGAAAGTAATGATTTATTTTCATGTGTTTCTGCATAAAGAGGATCAGCTCACATGGATGCTCAAGCACTAATATTCTTTGTTTTCACTGGAGGTTGTACTTGTACATCAAAGTCCAGTTTATTATAATTCATTATGTTTGGTGTTATATTTGTCTATTAAACCATCAGATCAAACTACTACATTTTCTACTTCTGAATTTTATAAATGTGGATATGGGCAATATGGGGCAACGCCAACGTATCTGGTTGAAAGTTGCGGCATTGAAACATTCATTGGAAAACAATATAAACCCTATAATTCAGCAGCTTGTGGGGCATCCTTGTGCCCAAGCAGTTCTTATCTCCCACAAAACAGTCTCTGTTCTCATTCATTCATTCATTCATTCATTCATTCATTCATTCATCCATCCATCCATTCATTCATTCGTTCATTTGTTTGTTCGTTCTTTCTTTCATTCATTCATTCATTTAGCTTCTTTTTAGACTTTCTGCTGGTAACCCATCCAGGTAACATTAACCTTCACCTAGCTGAGGCCTGTAGATGGAGCCTTTGGGGGTTTTCAATGATCACTGACCTCTGACCTCTGGGTGGATTTATTGGAAAGTGAAACAAGTTTGTTAGCTGTATAAGTTTGTAACTTACCTTTATCACTGTAAAATGCCCTTTAACCTCTCTCAGATTGATGGGCAGTTCTCTGAGGCCTGTGCTGGTTGTGTTAACACACACCTGTGTGCTCCAGACCATCAAACTGACTAAAGTCCTGCATACGGAGGAGCTCGGGCTGATGATGATCATTAGTCAGAGCGTTTTATTAAATGTTGTCATGTAGGAACTCAAGTTATTTGTTCACACTGACTTCCCTCACTTTGTCTAGTTTCTGTTTCATTTTATTTTTAACTGCAGGTCATTGCTTGTTGACTGATATATTACTAATTTTTGCTCAGAAAAAATACTGACCAAAGATATTTATAAAAATATATAGATGTTTGAACAAACATTAAACTGTAGTGTGTTGAATCATATAATTTTTATACTGACATTATTATCCCACATGAAATTGCAACCCATATTGCCCCTAGGGGTTTTAATTAGTTATGATGAATTTTTTCTAATTAATACATATTTACTAAGAAGGAATTAAACACACTGCGCTTCATCCAAATGAGTGCCAGTGCTCAACAGCTGGTACTTGAAACTTAAAAATAAAAAGGAAGGCTGGAGCACTCGGGTCAAATAAAGTATTTAAAAGGTGCAGGTAAAAAAATAAATAAATAAACGAACATTTCGACATTGCTGTCTTCATCAGAGTTATATTTTCATTGTTTCAATCAGTTTAGACACACAGGTGTCTGCAGGCTGATTAGACAACAACATAATGGTCATAATCTCATTGGTTGTGAAGTAAAATGTTGGACCAGAGGTAGAGCTAGTACCTGTCCAAATAAATCAAGCAGAATAGGATTCATTTCCATCTATTTACAAATAATATTCATATATTAAAAACAGTGAGTTGTAGTCAATGTAGTAAACCAAATGCTGCAACAACATATATACAGTAGGCAAATATGACTGTTGTGTGATTATGACCGTTATGTTGTTGTCTAATCAGCCTGCAAACACCTGTGTGTATGAACTGATTGAAACACTTAATGTAACTCTGATGAAGACAGCAATATGGTGATACGTTAGTTTTTTTTACCTGCACCTACTTTATTTTTTTTACCTGCACCTATTAAATACTTTATTTTTTTTCACCTGCACCTATTAAATACTTTATTTGACCGGAGTGCTCCAACCTTCCTTTTATTCTTAAATATATTTAGCACTTACCATACCATATTTATTTGTAAAGCACATTTAACCACAGTGCTGAACATGGAAGGGTCGCAGAAACACAATATTTCTGATTTTTGTTAAAGTCAATTTATATACTTTATAGGAAATAAATAAATAAATAAATAAATAAATTAATTAAAATGATTATGCTCAGGTGGAATCTGCTTAGAGATGACATTTTTTGTTTCCTCGAGTTGTTTTAAGATTCCACAAAATCTCTAAAATAAACTTTATTGATCAATTAGTTAAACATGTCTCTGATATTTCTGTCACGCCTAAATGATCCAGATCACCATTCAGTTGATTAAAACGTAAGAAGTGTGCGTTTCTGTTTGTGGTTCTGTCTGTGAGCTCTGCAGTGTCTCCAGAGAGAGCACGGAGCTCCGAGTAGCTGGAGATTTTGTGCTCAGTCAGAAAAAACTTATAACATGTATGCGCATGTTTGTGCTGTAAATTATTTTTAACTAAAGTCTAAGAGAAAACACTGTTTTGGTCTGAGTGATAACTTATTTATAGATACATGAAAGCAAAAACACCTGATCAACATGAATAGCCGGAAGTAAAAGATAATTCCATTAATTTTTAGAGCATGGAATTTCAAATACATTCGGTTTTTTCCAAAGGAAGGAAGTGGGCCTGGCGGTCTCCAAATCCAGAAATCATGTCGGGTTGTTTTTGCTGTTGGACAAGAAAACAGTTTTTATGAACAGATTCTGCATGACTGAAATATTTCTGATGAAGCTGTTCTGTTCATGTGGGCTGGATCAGTTATTTTCCTGGAGTGTCTCGGAACAGCTGCGTCCCATTTATTTATTGGATCTTCTTTAGACAGCGCAATGGTTTGATTCCCAGTCAGGGTTGTTTACAGTCTGCTTCAACACGCATGTATCTAACTGGTTTATAAAGAACAATTATTGAAAACAGATCAATAAAACAAAGAGACGGAGTCACGAGGAGGAATAACTGTGAATGTCCCGGAGACAAGAACAGCTGAAGAAACCAGAAGACGGACTGGTTTATGATAAAAACAGGAGCGGATCTGTGTCAGCCTCAGATTAATCAGACCAAAGAGGGACCTGATCGGACCTTTCTGCGCTCTGGAGGAATCTTCTGCTCTTCTCCATCCTGTTTTATCCCTTCATCTATTTTCCTCCTTCTGTTCTCCTTCACTTTTCCGTGTCGCTTCATCAGACAGCAGTCGAGCCGCGCAGCCAATCAGGGGGCTTCCTGAAGCTGGACTGGCTACGTCACGATCGGGTCCCCCAATCCAGTCACAGACATCACACACACACACACACACACACACACACACACACACACACACACACACACACACACACACACACACACACACACACACACACACACACACACACACACACACACACACACACACACACACACACACACACACACACACACCATCTGAAAGTTTGGACTTGCAGCTGAACCAGATCCGGAGAAGAGGATCAGCTTTCAGGACTCCTCCAGGACCGATCAGAGAGCTGCTGCGCGCGCCGCGCTGGACCTGACAGGGGCCCGAACCCGAATTGTCTGCAGGAACTTTGTTGCCGCTTTTCTGGACCGTTTGTGGATCTGCTTTCATGTGAGATGGGCTCCGACAGGAAGAGACTGTTGCTTTAGTCTAAGTCCGCTCTCTGCGCGCTGCAGGGCCCGAACCCGACCAGACCGAACCCAGTCCTCCCGGGTCCCTCACACAGGTGGGAATGTTAGCAGTCCAGATGGACGGCTCCCGACAGAGCGCCTTCCTCCTCAGCACCCCCCCTCTGGCAGCTCTGCACAGCATGACCGAGATGAAGACCCCTCTGTACCCGGCCTACCCGCTCTCCTCCACCTGCTCCAACTCCTCCACCTCCCCCACCACCACGTCCCCCAACCCGGGCGGCATTGCCGTGTCCTCACCGGGGATCAAGAGCTCCACCGGACTGTCCTCGGGGCTCGGTTCTCCGCAGCAGTGCTCCTCCGCCACTCCTCACGGGATTAATGACATCCTCAACCGGCCCGCCGGCTCTACCCTCGGCTCCACGGCGGCAGCGGCTGCTTCTTCCTCGGCGGGGATTCTGTCAGGACTGCCCCGGTTCAGCAGCCTCAGCCCCCCGCCACCTCCCGGACTCTACTTCAGCCCCAGCGCAGCGGCAGTGGCCGTGGCCCGGTACCCCAAACCACTGGCGGACCTCCCGGGCAGGACGCCGATCTTCTGGCCCGGAGTAATGCAGAGTGCGCACTGGAGAGACGCCAGATTTGCGTGTTCACCTCGTGAGTTTTGCGCGCGCGTGTGTGAGTATGTGTGTGTGGTGGGGTCTGCAAAAATCAAACTAAACTATTAAAATACTGTGTGAACGTTTTATCCAAAAATTTTATTATTTTGTAAAATGCCTAAATGCGGAATTATTATTATTTTATTTATTAGTGTTTTTGTTAGCAGGGAGCCGTGTGGGGGCAAGGGCCCGTGCAGGGGCCCCATTTAATTTTAATTAAATGATATATGATCTTTCTTTATGGGGCCCACAATCCCTGCTGGCCCCTTGTCAGAACTGATGCGCCTGTTCGGTTTGTGTTGCAGACCAGAACTCCGTCCTGCTGGATAAGGACGGGAAACGCAAACACACGCGGCCCACCTTCTCCGGACAGCAGATCTTCGCTCTGGAAAAAACTTTTGAACAAACTAAATATCTGGCGGGTCCGGAGAGAGCGAGGCTGGCCTACTCGCTGGGCATGACGGAGAGCCAAGTGAAGGTAACGCACACACGCGCGCGCGTCTGTTATTTTCTACAGAAAAATATATATTTTTTTACATTTAAAAATGTATAAAATATATGAAAAAATGTTCAGAATATTTAAAAAAAAGACTCACATTTTTTCTGCATCATTTTTATTTCTGGGTTTATTTCGCTAAACCCGGATGTAGCTGCAGGTTCAATCAGACGTAGTCAGGATCTGATTCACTTGATACAAGAAAATAACAAAAACCTGAATAAATAAGACGCACATGAACTGATTGATGTGTGTGCGCGCGCCAGGTGTGGTTCCAGAACAGGAGGACCAAGTGGAGAAAAAAGCACGCGGCAGAGATGGCCTCCGCTAAGAAGAAGCAGGATTCGGAGACGGAGAGGCTCAAGGGCACTTCGGACAACGAGGAGGAGGATGACGACTACAACAAGCCTCTGGACCCGAACTCGGACGACGAGAAGATCACACAGCTTCTAAAAAAACACAAACCGGGCTCTCTGCTCGCGCACACGTCAGAGAACGACAGCTCCTAATGCCTGGCCTTTTTTCCGTTTCTGACCCACCGAGTGTTCTTCTGACTCCAAACCGAACTCTGGGAGCCGGTCACACCCCAAGGGACTTTTAGCGGCGGAGGACTCCCGCGGGTCCAGACTCGCTCCGGCAGAGAAAACCCGCCTTTCCTGTAAATAGAAACGTGAGTTGTGTGAACAGAACCGAACCGGCTGTGGATCGGTTCTGTGTAGCTTCTTTCTGTTCCTGCTGGTTGTTTGTACTGATGCGCTGCTCCTAAATCAGCCTGATCAGTCCTGGTTCCTGAACGCCTCATGATCCGTCAGTTTAAGGATGGTCGTGAACGCAGCAGCACCTGCACACACACACACACACACACACACACACACACACACACACACACACACACACACACACACACACACACACACACACACACACACACACACACACACACACACACACACACACACACACTCTCTCTCTCTCTCTCTCTCTCTCTCTCTCTCTCTCTCTCTCTCTCTCTCTCTCTCTCTCTCTCTCTCTCTCTCTCTCTCTCTAAGCACTTTTTAGACTAGAGGACTCTGCTGCGATGCGTTTGCTGACCACAGAAAAACCGACCACCGAAACCGGTTATTTACCTTACTGTAGTAATTCACTATATTTATTATTGTTTAACATTAGGCCCCGTTAGTCGTGTCACAGTCTAAATATTTTTGAGCAGAAAAATTAAATAAATATTTTCTGTAAATTCCGTTACTATTTTCTCTTTTTTGGGAGAGATTTTGAAAGTTATTTTTCTCTGACTGGAGACACACATAATTATTATAACCTGTTTATTTATTTTTTTAATTTTATTTTTGTTTGTTCATTGAACCGGCTCTGAAGGTCATTCTGCACAAAACCGGATCAGACTGAATCTGTTTAAAGCGTAAAAAGCAACACGCCTACAACTGCATCTAATCTTCAGAAATTCTCACTAAACCCGCAGGATTTGCGCTGTTCCTTTATTATTATTATTATTATTATTATTATTATTATTATTATTATTATTTGAACAGAGACACATTTTTCTAAAACAACTATCCACAGTAAATCGTTATTTAGAAAATTTTAATTCCACACCTCTTAACAAGCTTTCAATGGGTTAGGGTTTGGGTTAACCCTATTTGTTATTTTTTAAAATCTGGGTGGAAAAAAAAGAAAAAAAATGAGCTGACTTTTGCTGACTTGGAAAAATGTTTAATTCAAACTCATTTAGATTTAAAAATAACAAAATAACAACGTCGTTAATAAAATGAATTTATGAATCTAACTTTAACGTTTTCAACAACAACAACAACAACAACAACAACGATAATAATAATAATAATAATAATAATAATAATAATAATAATAACAATTTAGCAGAGATGTACCCACTCACTTTTCCTGACTGCTATTTTATTCATAATAATTACTAAATGAACTGTTTCCTAAAGTTTAACGTAATGACACAAAAGGCACTTCATTTATCTTTTTATTGTTTTAAAAACACTCAAATTATTTTGATAGTGTGTTTTTTATGATGAGGGGTTCAGTTTGGGCTGATTTTGTTCCTCTTTCTCCTCCTGATTGCTGCAGCTGATTCATTTTGATCATGAGGCCTCAGATTATGTCAAACCTGCTTTCTCAACATTACCTTTTAGTATTTGTTTCATTCCAAATATGTTTGAAGTCAAAAACACTTAAAATTTCTGCTCAGAAATGATCTCTGACTGACACCCCGAATTGTTTTCCTAATCAAACAGATGTTCTGTCTAAAACACAAAGAAACAGAAATAAATCTACACATTTACTTTAAGCTGAAGGGATGTTTTCAGATGTTTATTGCTAAACAGAAAGTGTTTTTCTTTATTATGCATAAATAAGAAAATATTGATAATTTATGTCTGCCATAAATGAATTGTTATAAAGAAATCAGCATAAAATCTTACCTGTTTTATTTACTAATGGTTTGTCCTTTATTGACCAGAGTTGACTGATTGACCCTCTATATCATTCTGATTGGTCTGTGCGGTTTTTGCTATATGAATGAGCTGGGCACAAGGGGCCCCGGGTTCAGCTCATGAACACAGCTGGCCCTGAACAGAGCAGAGGGGCCACACTTCATTTTCAGCTCAAAGGGTCCTGGTGGATCTGATGACCTTGTAGACCTCTCGCTGTTACAGAAGATCTTGTCATTAATCAGCAGATTAAAAAGATGATAAACAGATCAACAGAATAGAAAAGTGTGGCGACGTTTCCAGCAATTTAATAGGCTTCTTTCCTTCTCAATTTTCCATTCATATCATTTACAATTATTTTTAAAAATCAAACTGAAGATGTTTAAATGAGTAAGTCCTCCCAAAACGACTAGATGTAATCTCTGAGTATCTCAGAATAAAACTGGGCTCTGAAACGTGCAGAGATACTGACGGACGTCCTGCTTCCGTTGATCCGTCAGCCAGACAGAGCTTCAGGATGGTTTCCTCCACCTCACTCACACACACACAAGCACGCACGCACGCACGCACGCACGCACGCACGCACGCACACACACACACACACACACACACACACACACACACACACACACACACACACACACACACACACACACACACACACAGCATCTTCTCAACATGTGGTCAGGTTCCAAAGAGCTGGTCCTCCATGACATCACACATCCAGGTTAACTAGCTTTAAGTGGGACACTAACTAGCTATCTATCTAACTACCAGCACCTGCGGACAGAGCTAACCTGTTCAGGCTGAAAGCTGAAAACAATTATTCTTGATTATTTTGATGAAGATGATGCAGAGTCTTCCTGCCCTTCAAATCAAATCAAATCAAAGCTTTATTTATAAAGCGCCTTCCGCAACCCTGTCAGGAAGCCCAAGGCGCTGAACACTGTACAGTACAAAAGTTAAATAAAGTGAATAAATCAGAAAATAAAAGCAATTCAAATTACAGATTACAAATTACGAAAAAGGTGAAACATTCTAGAAGAAGACAAATGTGTAAAACAAGGGAAAAATTGAACCAATGAAAACTGTGAGATAAAATCAACATAATTGAGTTCAGACTCATGATGTTAACATGTTAATGCATCAGTGATGATCACATGCACATGAACATTACCATGAATGTGTCCCAGCAGAAAATGAAACAGCCCGTCTCCTGCTTTCACAAATGTGTGTGTTTTTTTAATAAATAATAATGAATTCCATCTGTGTTTCCAAAAATATTCTACACTCTTAAATAACATTTCCAATAACTACCTTCCCAATTTGCTGATGAGTTTAAGCTTGACTGAGCTGTTGATGGGAACAGTTGTGAAGCTCCATCAAAAAGAAGGAGAGAAAATGTTTTAGTTAGCTGCCTCCTAATCTGGAACACAGAACAAGAGAGGGGCTTGTGAAAGACACAGCACTTTGAAAAATGTAACCACTTTAGTTTAGAACTGGCTGGGTTTGATAGTTTTGGTTTGTATTTTGTTTTTACTTAAAATTGCATTTTTAAAAGCTAATTCTTTATTTGCTGAAGTTACTCATTTAACCAAAAACCAAAACACCCCCTCTATAAAAGATCACTGAAGCAGCAAATAAAGTTATTCAGCTTAGTGAAACCTGCAAAATGTAAAAGGTTTGCTGCTTTCACTTACTCAAAAGAAAAATAGTTATAAATGTTTAATAATGATGATGATAATAATAATAACAATAATAATAATAACAACAACAACAACAACAATAATAACAACAACAACAACAACAACAATAATAATAATAATAATAATAATAATAATAATAATAATAATAATAATAAAAATAATACTTTATTTTTGACACATGACAATAATCTGAGTTAGCTTAAGTTAAGAAGTTAGATGCGTTCATTTACAGAGAAAACTCTAGGATCCAGCTTTTGTAAGTAAAGAAAATTCATGCAGAAAATACAAAATAAGAAGAAATGTAGATTAAATAATCATTGATAAAAAGAAGAATGTTTATATTTAGGTTATTTGTCATTGTTTTAAGATTATTTTTATTAGATCAAAATGCTCATTGGTATTTAAAATGAATATAGATGGAAGGATGAAGAATATTTAAAATCTCTAGAAGAGTTTCCATTTTTTCCCAGACCACTTTCTGAGGCCTGTGTGACTAAAAACATCAGGAGCATTTCTGGTCAGTCTGAGCTTTATTTTCTCTTCTGATGTTTAACCAACATGAACAAATACAAATCTGAAACTGCCCACTTTGTGTTGCTTTAATTCAGCGCTCCACCACATAAAGCTCACATCTAAAACCCATAAGAAATAGATGAAAAGTGTTGTTGTCCTACTGCACCAGACTTTATTGATCTGCAGTATTGCTGCCGTCTCCAGCTATAGAACTGTCTCTAACCCTGATCAGGCTGCTCACCAGTTCTTCCTCCTTCATGCTGACATTTTCATTTCATTACATGAAAAGTGTTTCTTAAAAATACAAATCTCTTTTAAATTCAGCCCTTACAGCTGCTGCTGCATGGAGTCCAGGATGGAGGTAAAAGGTTCCTGGTGGTGCCGAAAATATCAGGTTAGAGTTCAGGAGGAGCTGGATGTCCATGATCACCACCTGTCAATAAAAACAAAACAAGGAAACAAATTCTGAACAATGTGAGTGTTATAACGTGTAAAATGCAAAACTCTGACCCGCTCTTTATCAGATCACTCAGCTCACTCGGCCCAGACCCAAAAACAACCAGATGCAAGAAAAGAGTTAATTCATCATTAAGAAATTAGTGTGTGTGTGTGTGTGTGTGTGTGACAAAAAAAAACAACAACATTGTGCATTAGCAGCACTCTTAGAGGATGTCAGTCATCCCTGCAGTAGCTCGCTATGTGTGCATATTTTATCTGTCTTGTTGTTTTATGACTATTAAATTTAGACCAATTTAAGAGTTATTAATTATTAAACAAGAACAGCAAAGCATTTTACATTTAATCATATTATGCATTCATAAATAAATTCTTTATCATAACATTTTTTATTTCTAGTTTCTGCCTGGTGTTAACAACAACAACAACAACAACAACAACAACAACAATAATAATAATAATAATAATAATAATAAACAATAATAAAAACAACAACAACAACAACAACAATATTATTATTATTAATAATAAAAACAACAACAACAATAAAAACAACAACAACAACAATATTATTATTATTATTATAAAAATAATTCTTCATAGGCTTCTACTTGGTTAGTTAAATTATCTCAGTAATATCTAATAGAGCTGCTCTCACATCATTTTTTGTCTTTTTTGTGTTTTTGTCAGCAAACGAGAAACTCTGACACGTTTCCCCCGGTCACTGTAACGGCACATAGTTCTGTTTTATCTTCAGACCCAAAAGATAAACAATGACAAAGCGCATTCATAAACAGACTAAATGAAGGAGCATAATGAACACAGCTTCAGCCCATGATAGCTTTCATTCAAAATTTAAACATTCTTTTTGATTTCTGTAAATCACCTCAGACCCCAGACTTGGTGACCCACAGAGGGGTCCTAATCACAGCCTGTTGGACCTTTGTAATTGAACAGAAAATGTATTAAATTATTAATTTTAGCAGGTCCCTCTAGAGCCAGTCAGCATGCTCACTGAGCACAAAAACAGGGCCTCAGTGGGAAATTTCACCTTTTCTGTTTTGCATGAAAATCTTTCACTTTGCAACAGTCACTGTTAGAGAGTAGCCGTTTGTGCAACAATAAAATAATCAGATCTGCATTTGCTTTCCAATGTTTGCTTTAGATTTGTAAGTGAATGAACGCTCTGGTGTGTTGTGATGTTTTCCCAGTGCAGTCTGACAGTTTCAGCACCATGAAGATCCAGGTGGAGGCAATGAGCTCACTGTTGACTCCAGGTGGGGGAAACATTGTTTTTATGTAATCCAGGTGTAGTGAACATGGCCCCATCCCTCAGAGACCCACGGCAGCATCTGTTCACTCTGTCAGCCGGCTGGCTGCTGCTCCGACTGCACCTTCAGAGGTTTTCTATCTATCTGTCGTTTTTCTGATTTGTTTTTTTATTTAATTGTAGTGTTTTGACCCTCTGGGCCACTGTAGCCATAGAGGAACCAGACAGGTGTGGTTTGGTTTAATTCCAAACTGATGGAGCAGAAGATGAATGCACAGGCCTGTAGTGGTTTTAGCTCTGCTCACTCTTCACTTGTATTTGTAAACGACCGACCACCCCAAACTGAATCCAACCTGTTAGCATAGTTTCAGCAGACAGCTCCACCTGTTGACTCCCACTAATTCTTCCCTGTTTGCCAGCATGACTAATGTGTGAGTCGACCTTTATAAAGAGCTCATTGACAGGCTCCCAGCTGACCATGTACTACACAAGATTACACACAAGGACATGTGTCACGGGAGCCTGCAGCTCCCACAGACATGAAAGGCGGTCTTATCTCCTTCCAGCACGCCTGCAGTTCTCTGATAAGGAGCACTTGGGGATTCTGCATTATGTTCAGCAGAAGCACTGTCTGCTACCTCCTCTAACAACACATTCATGGTTGAGTGGAAACACTGCGCCTTAGCAGCACTCTTAGAGGATGTCAGTCATCCCTGCAGCAGCACGCCGTCATCCGACTGCAACGATCAGCCGCCCAGCGGACGTGGAAATAAGGTCTTTGTTAATTGCTTTGTGTGCTTGAGAAACTTAATGACAACTTCTGTGTCATTACCTGATTATGAGTCTGTGTTAATGTATGTACCCCCCCCCCCCCCCCCACACACACACACCTGCTGACTTGAATAGAGGTTTGTGTATCTGAGGCAGCAGAGGGATCTTTAGCTCTGACTGCCAAACTATTTTTCTGTCCCCAGATAATCTCTGGTTTTACATGAACCACAGGGTGCATGGAAAAAATACACAGAATTGCATGAAAAACTTTATTGTGTCATCATGAG